ACATAACATCCGGCCACATGGCAGCCTTCTCCCGGCCGCTCCATTTCCTGAGCTCAGACGACTTTGACGACAGTTGGTTTATGTTTTCCATGAATATAATGTTCTCAGAGAAACACAAATTTCTCCCCGTTACAAAAGTCCCCATTCTCTCCGTCTCTCTCCCCTCCCTCCCCACGCACCCTTCCCTCTGTGAAGCAGGTAGATTTATGGCTGCAGAGAGTCCAGGTCGGATCCTGCCCAGCTCACGGGTCCTGCCCAGCTCACAGCTCCTGTGTGGATGCAGCTGAGAGCCCAGGCAAGCACTTGCAGAGAGCACTGGGGCAGCTTCTGTCCCACTCCCTGAGCTCTCCACAGAGGAAACTGCCTCCTGGTAGAAAAGCAATGCTGAGGAGCTGGAGAAAAAAACCCTCTTTCCTCCACACGAGGAAACAGGAGGACTCTTCTGCAGCTCAGAAGGTTTTCATGCTCTTCAGAAAAACTGCCTGTCCCTGGTTCCCAGTTGCTTTTTCTCTGTGCTTGCAGCGCAACGCTCATCAGCTTCCGTTTTTTGCATCCCATCCCCTCTCCCTGCTGAGCTCTGCTGCAGAGCAGGTAGCCTGGGAGCCAACTACAGGAGTCTGGGTCCAGTTTCCAGCTCGCAGCAAGCAGCAGTCACTGGTGCAAGGACATTTTTTCAGGGTTCCCCTCGTGCTGGATTGGAACAGGACAGTTGCTCTGCTGCGTGTAAAGTGGTTTAGGTGTGAGGGAGGTTAGATGGGAGGTAGGAGGAGGGAGCCTGCTCATGGAGGTGAAATCTTAGAAGGTTTTAGCTGCTGAAATGAATTCCGATTGAATATGGAAAAACTGCTGTATTTCAGATGTTTATAGCTTGGCCAAGTGTGGACAGATTTCTAGTAGGACAGGAAAACTCTCTGTTAAAATGGTTATTCTGCAGCAAAATCTCGGATCCCCTTTCCAGGATTTGCAGTTGCTACATTAGCTCAAGGAAAAGGTTGTAAGTGTTTTTTTCTAGCAAGGGTAAAGCACTGTCTTGTTTCCTAGCCTCATTCTCACAAGTAGCCGGACTGTTTTGGCTAAAGATTTCTGGAAGAATTTGGGCTGACACAGGCACCCAGCATGGAAACTTCAGCTCCAATAGTTAAAAGATAGTTAAAAGCCAACTGGAAAAAGGGTCTTATGAGTGGCTGGTGTCAGGCAGGCGTAATAACACGGTGCTCAAAACTCTGCCTGCAAAAACCTGCCAGAGCTCATGTCCCACTGACTGGTCCCACATCTGGAGTCCTCACCTCAGTGGGGGGTTTGCAGAGGGTGCAGGGCTCTTGCTCGTTTTTGGGGGGCAGAAAGACAGATCTTCATGGCAAAATCAGCCCATGAAGTGTGGGATAATGCAAATTACCCAGGCTGTTGTTCCAGGCTGCAAAGTGTTTGATGACTTTCCTGCTTTAAAATGCTCTGTCTGCTCCTTTCTAGCCCTGTCTAAGTGCACGTACCTCCGAGTTTTATTGGTATAGCTGATGTGGGGCTATAAGTGATTGAGAAACAGATCCAGCTTGAGAGAGCTCCCAGAAGGTGGGGTTTTAGGCCATCTCAGCTCCGTGCCGTGACTGCAGCCTGGCTCCTCAGGCTGTGTGGGGACAGCAGCTCGTGGTGCAGCCTATGGTGGGGTTCAGTGTTACCCTGAGTCAGTCGGGGCTGCAAACGCTGCACATCTTGACCTTAAGCTGTGGTTTAAGAAGCAGTTGAGGTGGCGGTGCCAGGTTTACCCACACTCCTCCCCCCACACATCACCTTTGATGGTGGTGGCACAGCCAAAAGGTGACATTTGGAACCCCAGTGAGCTGCATGACCTGGTTCACAGGGTGACTGCGCAGGTGGGAGCTGAGTGGTGACATGGTGACAGGAGCTGTTCAACTGATGCTGGCATGATCAGGGACGTTGGTCTGGTTGCAAGGAGAGGGGGAATATGTTGAGATTGTTGTTGCACAGCCTGGTCCTGTGCTGGATGATTTCCTGCAGAGCTGCAGCTGCTGGTGGCACACAGGAGCCACATCTCTGACCACCTCAGGTCCTCTGACCTCGTGGCATCTCTTTGCATGTGATTTCCATCCATAGTCTGCCTGACCCACTCCACACCGTGGTGTCCTTACTGCCCATCACAAAGACTCCACAAGTTTCGATCATAAGCTTTCTGCCCTTGGCTTGTACCCTCACCTTCACTATCTCTGTGGCCTGGGGTGCCACCCCACTGCCTCACACAGTTGTGACCACTCTCTCCAGGCTGCGAGCTCGGTGAAAGCTGAGGCTCCTGAGGAAGGTGATGAAAAGGCACAAACAGAAAGTTTGTTCTGATTTATGGTGCTTTCCCTGTTTGTCCTACAGTTAAACTCTTAGAGGCTTTGCTGGCAAGGCTGGGAGCTGCAGTGCTGGTGTACATTCAGGGTCTTGAATGAGCACCCACCACACTCTCACTTGGATGCTTGTCCTTCCCTGCCAGGTTTTTGGGCTGGAGGAGCCTTGAAATGAGGCTGACAAGCGTGGCCAGGGAATGAACTTTCAGAACCAGGGGACTTTTATGTAATGTAATGATGAGATGACAACACCCACAGTAGCTGAGCTGGAAGTGTGAGGAAACAAGCCTTAAATGTGGGTGTCCTGTTCCTCTTACCTGCACAGTGGGCAGCTTTGTGGGCTGTACCAGGGCTGAGCATCGTGGGAGCTGGTGGGCACGTGTTGCATGTCTGTAACAATATGAGATGTTTGATGGGGCTGGGGCTGCAGTGCTCAGCTGAGTGAGCAGGTCACAGTGGGCTTTCCCTGTGAGAATTCATATGCAGGAAATGTTTTTACTCTCTTTAGAGTCTTTAATGTTTAATGGGGAACTTGTAGCCTGCAAGAAGAGCTGCTGGTGGCAGTGGGACAGGCTGAGGTCCTGATACCAAGCCTGGCCATGACCAAGCACTGTTTGGAGCTGATCTCTCAAGTACATCAGGGCTGTGAGCAGTCATTTTGACCCTCAGTATCACAAAAGCCTTTTGAGCTTTGCCTTTTCTGGAGGGGGTGGACTTAACTTTTGTACTAGCCCAATTTGTGGGTGAGTGCAAGTCTGGCTTGAGCACAGTGCCCAGAGTCCCTGGGGTGCTGCCCACCCAAGGTGCAGGGGTGCTTGCTGAAATGCCCAGAGCTTTTCACTCACCCTGGGGACTGACCAGATTCAGATTTGACAGGATGATAGCCATGGTCTCATCGTGTGCCCCTTTAGGACAGGAGGTGAAGAGAGTCCAGCATCTCACCCGAGTGCGGGAGGAGGGAACATGGGGAAGATGACTGTAATTTCTTGAACTGGCCTCTGGCCAGAGTGCTGGGACTAACACTCTTAATTGTGGGAAAGGCTTCATGAAAGAGATTTACTGTCCCAGAGTGGTCACATCTTTAGTTTTATGTTTCCTCCAAAAGTTGACAGTCCCTGCAGGACAGCACTTCCTACCAGTGCTCTGCGGCACCAGCTCAGCCCTGGCTCTGGGAGCAGAGCACCCTCGTTCAGCTTCCAGATGCCTCCAGTGCCTTAGTGGTCTTCCCACTGGGTGCTGAACTCGCTGGCAGCTGTAAGAGCTGGCCAAACCAAGCCTACAGATCTTCCTCCTGCTTTTTTTCCTGTGTTTTCTAGGTGCGCTTTAGTCTTTTTCTGGTTGTTTTTAACCTCCTACCCTGTTGCTCTGAAATAATTTGCACTTAAAAACCCTGTGTTTGTTCTCGGTGCCTCAGGTGTTTTGCCAGCCCCAGCGGGAACCAGGTCTTCATGTCTTGCTTTAATCCTCTTGCCCTTTGCTCAAAATCCCTGCTCTGCCACATCAGGGGAGTTCAGCTTCCAACACCTTCTCCTTTCCCATGCAGAGCTGATGCTCGTGTTTGGGGCAGGAGTGCCCATAGCTGGGGCTCTGTGGGGGCTCTCCCTCCCTGTCGCAGTGCTGGGGCTTTCCTCACATACCAGTTTGGAGTCAGGACTAGGTGCATTCTAGATTTGCATTCTAGGTGCAAATTCTTTGCTTGGCTTGTGGCAGCTTTTCTCACAGCATCTGCTGTGTGAGGGCTGGAAGCCAGCGAGAAGCAGCCTGTGCAAACAGCACGGGCTGGTAGGGGACCCCTGAGCAGTGCGGGTGCATCCTGTGGCTCCACTTCCCTGCCTCCCTCTGGCCAAGCCCCCAGCCAGCTGCTCCCTCTGAGAGCTGGAGACAGGATGTGAAGTGGGGGCAGAGGGGATTGGGAGGGCAGAGGCTGCCTCTAAGGCTTAGAACCCTTCTGTGAGCAGGCAGCACAGTGCCCGAACGAGCACGGGCAGCCTGGCATGTCCCACGGTGCTCCCGGCCTCATTAAATGTAACCCACACCCAGCTCCAGGCAGTTCCCTCGAGCCAGCTCCCCGCTGCTCTCAGCAGCCTCAGAAGTGGTTTCTGGCTGGGTGTAGATGTGCTGGGGGGATTTGCTCTCACTCCGAGCCGGCTCTGTTTGGAAGAGCTGTGGTCGTGTGGCATCTACTTGAGTAACAGCTTCAATTAAGCTCTCTTGACAAGCTGTTTTGTGACTGGTGAACTAATGGGAGGAGCCCCCTCCTCAGCTGCTGAGGTTAAAACTCCAGTGGGGACAAAGATCAAACATGCAGCTAATTATGCTTTTAACGCTTAAACATACCCCCCTCCTCCAGGGGAAGGCATCAGCTCCAAGCAGCAGCTACTGTGTTGGGAGCCCGGAGTGTCAGCTTGGACAGGGCGAGGTGGGGATGGGCATGATGTGGGCAGTGTCACTGCAGCCTCTTCCTGCTCCAAAGCTGTTACTCACCACCTTTTTTTCCCACCTGCGTGGAGCAATTGAGTCCAGGACAGGTGTGAGGTGGGGAATTGCCCCCCCCCTCAGAGATCCCTGCCCTGTGTAGGATCGAGAAAGGGAGGCTGCAAAGGAAGATGGAGCATCTGACCTGCTTCCCCTGAACCCCTCTCTGTCTCCTAGAGTGCATTGCTGAGGACTGCCGCTCTGTCATCCAGGAACAGGCCACAGCCCTGGGGCTCTCCATGTTTGCTCTCTTGGTGAGGAGGTGCACCAGCCTGCTGCGGGAATGCCTGCAAGGTAAGGGGAGACGGCAGCATCCACCCAGCTGCCCTGGGGGCAGCCTGCTGGGGTTCAGGCCCTTGTTCCCTGCTGTTTGTACACCCCTTCCCCTCTGCTGGGGCCCTTGGCTCTGCCCAGGTTATGGCTGGATCATCGGGCAGGAAAGCCCCTGATGTGTATAGGCAGAAATGTTTGGAAGAGAGGGGTGAATGCAGAGCATGCTTTCTGCCAGCTGCTGGGAAACTTCCCAGAACTGGGACGTCAAGATCCTATCTCTGTGACTGGTGCCCTGGCACCCAATGTCCGCAATAAAAGGGATCACAGACATCCCAGCTTATCCTCCAGGCTAGCCCATGGCAGGAGAACAGATCTGGTTTTGTCCTTGCTGTGGTTTGTGGCTGTTCCCTTGTGCATCCCTGGCATGTTGGGATCTGTGTTCTGCATCCCCTGTCCCTGTCTGAGCCTGGCTCCTGGTCTCGGTGAGCTGCCTCAGCTCTTACATCTTGTATTTGCAGTTCAGCCACGAGAGGTGGAACAGGAGGATGAGGAGGATGACATCAAGGTCTCTGTCTTGCCCCAGGACCTGAAGGAACTGCTCCCTAGTGTGAAGGTCTGGTCAGACTGGATGCTTGGCCACCCAGACACCTGGAATCCTCCTCCAACTTCTCTCGAGCTCCCAAAACAGTATGTGCATCCTTTGGTCTGTCATTTGGTCTCCTTCCCTCCCTGGGCTCCTTGTGCCGCCTTAGCCCCTCACTTGTGCTGTGGCACTCTGACCTGAGCACCCAGGAGAGACTCACTGCACAGGGGATGTTTGGGGGGAGCTTGTCACCCTTGGTGACACATTGACTTCATTGATACATAGGTCAGTGTGAAGTGGTTCTGAGGGGACCTGGTGGGTGCCCTTTGCTTCTGTGTCTTAGAAAATGTCCTGTGCACTGGATTTTTACCTTCTGCTCAGGATGTGTGTCAGCTTTTGTTGGGATACATCTCCTTTACACGCTGTGCTGGCCCAGCCAGCTGAGCAGGCAGGGCCTTTCCCTCTGGAAGAGGGAACTCCGTTTCCAGCAGGAACATTTGGTTACCTATTTTTGACTGAATCAGTCCAACCTTGGTCAGGCTGGGTTGGCCTGGTGCAGCTTGCCTGTTCCTGGAGCTCCAAAAAATCACCTCCCTTCTCCTTCAGAAACGACATCTCTCTACCCCTGCATCACACAAAAGGGTTAATTTTCTAAACTGGCCCATTCCAGCCCATTAGTCCATAATGCGGACTAGGCAATTTGCATATTTTTGGACAGAAAATCGAGCGAAGGGGCCAAGTATGGAGTATGTGAAACAGTGTCTGAGCATGCTCCGTAGCTGCTTTCCCGCAGGATTTTCCATCTGCCTCCGGTACTCCGGATCCAGAGCCTGGAATCACGTCTTATTGTTAATCCAAAGGAGCCAGAACCCAGGGTGATGGGAAGGCACGTTAAGAGTAATCCAGCAAAGTGGCTTAACCATTAATGGGTCCCCGCTCCGTGTGTCAGGTCCAGTCCCGCTCTCCTAGTTTATTGCCTCCTACTCCCGTTCTTTTTCATTTGGCTGAGGAAATGGAAATCTCACACAGGAAGTTCTGGGCCTCATTTTGTGGAGATGGAGTCTGTTTTCTGTTTGTCGGCTGCTCGGTGTGGGACCGTTGCCTGCTCATGTGAACTGCTGCCCATCTTTGGGCAGGAACTCAAACTGGGATCCATCACGTGAGCCCGCCTGCACCAATCCCCCCTTCCCCTCGCGCTGCCTGCGCAGGGAGCTGCTCAGCCCTTGGCCACGGGTAGCTTCAAGATGGAATTTCTGATTGGGGTCGGGCAGCCAGCGCTCAGCGCCGGCCCCAGGATGAGCTGCCTCTCCCTCCTGTGGGGCTGTGTCCCACCTGGGCTGCCAGAGCAGGTGAACTGGGCTGGGAGGAGGTGGTGGTGGTGGCAGCTCGCCCCGAGGTGAGGTGGCACTTTGTGGCTCTTGGGGGAGCAGTGGGCATGGGTTGCAGGGCTCTTCTCTGCAAGGGCCTGGTCTGCTCTGTGGAGGAATGAGAGTCTTTGTTATGTAGAAGAGGCCTGACTTCTTCCTCACCTTGTCCTCTCCGTGGAGGGAGCCCTTCTTGTCCCACTGTGCTCTTCATCTGGCCATGGGGAACCTTCCTTGTGTTGTTGTCTGCCCTGGTGCTCACCAGGAGCACTGACCTTTTGTGTTGACCCAGCGTTATGCATCTGGATGTTAGTGGTCCAGGACTCTGGGACAGCAGTGCTTGAGCTTTCTCAGAGGTGTGAGTAGTGATGAATAGCAGGGACCCAGCTCTGCTCTTGGGCATGAACTGGAAGTTGGAACTTTTTCTCTGGAGGTGGGAAAGGAAAAGGGGAGCCCCACGTTGGTATTTCAGCTCTATTGGCACAAGCCTTCTGCCTGAGCTGTTCAGTAACCAGGTAGTCACTGAGACCAGGGGTTTAGATAGGAGCAGCTTCAAAGAAGTTTAGAAGTAAAGCATGGGTCAGAGCAGCAGGCGTGTTGGAGTAAGCCAAGGTTTATGGGCAGGGTGAGCTGAGGAGTGGGGAGAGCATGTGAGGAACAAGCACAGATGTGGAGTTGTGGAACTGAGTTGAGTGGCCTGTGCTGTTTCGCACATGCTCTATGGCTCACGGTGGCGGGACATGCCTTGAAGTCCCCACCAATGCCAATGGAGGAGCCAGCTGGACAAGCTGAAACCTCCTTCCCAGCACTCTGCAGCCATCACTGTCAGTGCCCCTCATGGTGGCACATGCACAGAAAAGGTGCAGTAAAAAAAAAAAGCCAACAACCAACCCAGAGCACAGAAGCAGTCTGTAAGGATGCCACAAATGTGCTAAAGCTTCTGGAAAAAACAGGCCCCGTACCCACCTGGCAGCCCCTGAGGAGCAAAGGCCTGGCCCAGAGTTTGCATCAAAGTGCAGCTCATCCGGGGCCAGCGCTGCTGCCAGAATGACGGGCTGGGCTGGGGGCCAGGGGGCAGCTTGTCAAGGCTCCACCAGAGCCTGGAGCCCAGGGCTGCCAGGGCTCCATCCCGCGGCCTCCGCTCACGCTGCCCCCGCCATGTTCACGTTTGCTCATCCTTAGCAAGAGAGAGGAGAGCTTGGGGGGGCTTTGAGAACGTCTAAACTCAGCCCAGCTGTGGCAGTTGGTTTATTGCTTTCAGCTGGTACTTGAACCCGGGTCCTGGTCTTGGAGTCTTTCCCAGGTTTAATCCCCGGAGCTTTCTCTGCAGCTGTATGACACTGCGCTGACCCCGAATGAGGATAGGAAAATAGAAACGGTGCCAAGCCAGAGTCTCTTTTTCATTTGCAGTCTGGCTGGCTGCCCATGACCAGGGTTACATAATGGGAAACATAGCTGGGGCTCTGGAGAGCCCGCGTTTCACCACGCTGCCCAGACCTTCGCGTTCTGATGCTATATATCTTCCTAATTGTAGCTCGGATGCATTTATCACACTGCTGGATTTGAGTCCTTACAATAAAAAAAAAAAAGAGAGAGAAGAAAAAAAAAAAGCCAACTCAACCCCACACTGAATTCCTCAGCTCACTGCTTCCCCTCGGATAGGGGCGGAGGGAAAGGTGTGAGGGCTGAGCGCCGGAGTGGGCTCTGTGGAGAGGAGTGTGGGGCTCTGTCTTTGGGGTCCTTTTCTTGGCAGTGGCTGGGGAACAAACCCCAGCTCCTGGCAGGCAGCCTCTCCCTAGCTGGGGGCTCAGAGGTCCTGACTCCTCTCCCCAGAACCACCCTCCCTGCCCTGGTGCTGTCGTCTTGGCCACGTCTGCGCGGTGGCTGCGGCTCAGGGGATGTGCTGGGATGTGTTTTCAGGCCAGGAGGCCACAGAGGGGTGACGGGGTGCCTGGATCCCTCTCCTGGGGCTGCTGTGTGCATGTGAGAGGCAAGAGGGGTCCTTCCCCTCTATGTCTTTAGGAGAGGGGCTCAGAGAGTTTTCCATGGCTCTTTTGTCAGGTGTTTCAGCAGCTGAACTTGACCATGGCCATCCCTGCTTCAGAGCAGCAGTGTCCTGCAGCTCAGGGATTGTGTGTCTGGACAAGGTGTTCCCAGATCTTCTAGCAGCAGGCAACAGGCACTTCTGTATCTCAAAATGAACTTATATCTATGTTTCATGGCAAAAATTGCATTGAGGTCTGAGCAGGCGGTCATTCAAAGCAGTTGCATTGCCATGGGTTGGAGTTGCTCCATGGGTTGCTTCAGCTGGGTTGGAGCAGTCCAACTGTCCCCAGGAGTGATTTGCAGGGTGTAAAAGTAGGGAGTCCAAGGGAGAGAGGAGCTGGGTGGATCTCCTAAGGCAGAGATATTGGCAGCAGATGGGGCGAAAGGCAGATCTCCAAGGAGGCTGCTGTCGTTCAAGGGACTCCATCTCCTTTTGGGACATATGGTGAAGAGGGCTGGGCAGGGGAGAGCGAAGCTTCTCCTTGCTCTGCCACAAGGAATCCTTCGCTAAATGAAGCGCAAGAATTGATGGGGAAGCCACTGGCTAGACAGAGAAACTGCTGCAGGGCTGAGCCTGGAGAATCCCTGCTCCTTCCATGCTGGAGCACAGGGCCTCTTGGTTTGTGGAGACTGTCTGCAAGCATTTAAAAATGGTTAATTTAAACCAAGTATTAAATTAAATCCAAAAGCTCTGAGCACATTTTAGAGCTTACCTTCCCAGAGAGATCTGCCAGATCGCTCTCATCACATCTCTCTTGCGGAGAAGTGTCACTGAGATGGCAGCTCCCACTGGGACAGATGGACAGGGTCTTGGACAGGAGTGCCAAGACCTTGCTGGATTTTGCTGGAGACCAAATGGAAAATCCCTTTTGCAGAGCTCAGCCTTTGTTAGTAATTCTGGCCACCAGAGTTTCCCTATCAAGACATCAAAGTGAGTGTTCAGAGGTGTCTCAGTGGTGTAAATCTGGCCAAGAATGAAGGTGAAGTTGAGTGAAGCAGAAGCCAAAAAGGTTCCGTGGAGAAGCAGAGGCTGGCTGGGAGGAAGCTACACCTCTCCCGGGGTGGAGAGCATCCCTCTAGCTTCAAAGGCAGGTTCCCAGGAAAGGAAGGGGCTGGCCAAAGGGACCACATGCAGGGCAGAGTGGAGGAGGTAATTGGTGTCACAGGGCAGAGGGGCTTTGGCCACATCATCCCCTCTTTGGGCAGCTGTGTTCAAGCCCAGGTCAAGGTTGGTGAATGCCTTTTAAGAAGAGCTCCCACCACCAACTCCTTTTGTGCCTTGCAGAGGAGCTGCTTTTAATTCAGCTTCCCCTGGGGTGGGAGAGAGGAAACCCAGGAGGGGTTTGCAGAGCTCTTTGTAGGGATACAGGAGCTGGGGTGGGCACCAGGTGCTGGTGGGTGCAGGTCACCAGGCCCTGGGAGCACAGGAGACGTTTGCCATCTGCAGGGCAGCGCGGCAGCCGGGGAGCACAATGCTGGGCTTCTTCTGCGCCGCGCTTTCCGGGTTTGTTCTGCAGCTGTGGGGTTTGAATGTTAGTGTTTAAACAAGCTGGTATTACACAGGAAATGGCCACCTCCACAGGCCCCCGCAGGCTTGTAACATGGGGTCATTGTGCTTGATATTAATCACTAGGCAGCCCGCGCCCCCGGTGAAGATGGTGGCTGCGCCGGCAGGGGTTTGGTGAGCGTGGAAATGTGGAAAGGGTGGGTGTCAGGAGGATGGCTCCAGACTCTTTTCCACAGTGTCCAGTGACTGGGCAAGGGGCAGTGGGCACAAGCTGCAGCACAAGAGGTTCAGGTTAAACATGAGAAAAAACTTTTTTACTGTGAGAGTAACAGAACCCTGAGACAGGCTGCTCAGGGAGGTTGTGGAGTCTCCTCTGGAGACATTCCAAACCCATCCGGAGGTGTTCCTGTGGGATCTACTATAGATGATCCTGCTTTAGCAGGGGCGTTGGACTAGGTGATCTTCAGAGGTCCCTTCCAACTCAGTGATCATCAGGCTGGCCCTGGCACCCTCTGCTCTCCCCACACTAGTGTGTGCCTCTCACCTTGCAGTGCTGCCTTGCCCATCATGGGCACCTGTCTTTGCCTGGAGCCATCCCTGCCCGGAGCCAACACCTCCAGGGCCACACTCCAGCAGCCCTGCTGCAATTGCCTCCATCCTGTGGCGGTGGCCCGGCCGGGCTGGGTCCTGTCGGCGTGCAGCTGGGCTGTGCTCACACTGACAGCTACATTAAACCTGGAATCCTGAGGCAATAAAAAAGAAATTAACTCTTATTTTTTTTTCCTGTCCTAGTGGGATAAGCAAATGTAAATGTGTCTGTGGGGAAGTGAATGAACCCCCATTCTGAGGAGAGACCTCGCGCTAACCCCTCGCTCGCTTCCTCAGTTAAAAGCTCTGGGAGCCTCATCCCAGTACCTGGGAGCAATGTGCCTGGGCTCAGAGTCAGTAATTCAGGGGCTCCCTGCACAGGGGGACCCTGGAGCTGTGGCACAGTGTGAGCACAGCCCTGCCAGGCACCTGGGCCTGCCTGGGCTCAGCGGGAGGTGCCAGCACCGCAGTGTTGTTGGCTGACATGAGCCAGGAACGCCTGGGGGTGGCCACAGCGTCGTCCTGGGAAGAGGCAGTGGGGAGAAGTTGCCTAATGGAGCTCTGAGTGCATCTCCCAGCAAGAGATCCACAGAGTTGTGTGATGCCAGCATTGAGCTGTTATCACTGGCTGGCTTTGCCAGCAAGGAGCAGCCAGTAAATCTGGTAAATAATGTTGGTGGTGGCAGTGCTGGGAGATGCTGTGCAGAGGAGGAGCTGTGCCTGACGCAGGGGCAGACAACTGTCAAACCTGCTCTCTGTGGTGCTACCCCTGCTGTGGTGCTGCAGGAGAAAACCAGAGCAGAAACACCAACATCACCTTCTTTATTGGCTTTTTGAGGGCTCTGCAGGGTGCTGCATGTGAGAGGGTGCAGCCCTGCTGCCGCAGAGCTGCTCAGGGCTGCATTGCAGTGAGTTCCTGCTGCCTGGGGAGCCAGCACAGGCTGCAGGAAGCTCAGGGTGGAAACCTAACACATCCCATGCAGATGACAGATGTGGCAAGGCACTGTGAAGCTGTAGGGAGCTGGGGATGAAGGGGATAAAGTGACAGGGACTGCTCTCACTCTCAGGGGGTGGTGAGGGGCTGCCCTGCCTGGCAGCACTGCTGGGGGGAGAGGCCAGGGCTGCTGGGCTGGAGGGGCACAAGGGTGCTGGGAACATCGTCTGGGTGACTGTTCACACGGTGGTTTCCTGACACAGGGTGCCAAGCCCTGCGGAGGGAGATGGGTCCCTGTGCTTCCTCTGTGCTGCTCCTTCACCCCACTGCCACCCCTGCCCCGCTGTGGATCCTGGTCCTGCCCAGCATCCGACCCCTGCCCTCTCCCTCTCTCCTTCCCTCCCTTGCCGCTCATCTCCAGCCTCTTCCCGCAGCTCTGTTTCTCTGGGAAGACAGGCGAGGTCTCTGCAATGTGTTTCTTTCCCTTCTCCACCCTGGCCCCATCCACCTGGCTGCCTCAGCCCCCTGGGAGCATCCTCTGCACTGGCGCTTGTCCCCAACACCCCTGTGTGCCTGTTCCTTGGCAGATGCAGATGCTCTCCCTGTTCTTCTCCCCCACTGATGCCTTCAACCCCTGCACCTCCTTCGGCCCAGCCCAGCCCTCACTGGTGGGGCCCCACCAGTGCTGTGTGACCAGACCCAGGCAGCCCAGCCCAGTTGCCAGCAGGGCACTGGGGGAGGGCTGAGCCTCCCAAGCCCTGTGCATCTCCCATGGGCAGAGCTCGCCTTGGAGGTGGCCCAGAGCAGCCCTATCACATCCGGTGCTTGTCTCTGCAGCCTGGGCCGGAGGATAAACTATCAGGGCTGTGGGGCAGTGGATCATTCCTCTTATTATTTTCTTCTTTTGCAGATAGGGGTCGTGGAAAGTTCAGTTCCTTTTAACCCTCGCAGCTCTGTTTATTTTCCAGCTGGTAGCACAAACGCAGCGTTTCCCATTACATCACAAAGGGCCTCGGACAGATCCCTCCGAAAAACGTGTTGCAACTGTTTATTTTTTTCCATATTTAAACATTTCTGACAGCCAGACCTGGCTGAGCCAAGCAATGGAGCTTTGTGAATGAACCCAGCTCCTGGTGTCTGTGCTCAGAGGGCTTTGAAGGACCTCTTCTCCTCTGCAGCATGAGGGCTGGGGCTGGCTGGGGGACGTGGGCGACTCTGCGTTACATGTGTGCTGATTACGTGCCGGGCTTTGATTAATGGCTCCTCATTCTGCCTGGCTCCCAGGACGCTCTTGAAAACAAGATGTTTCATTTCAGTGTGCTTTCCTGGTACATTGATTCCCGTAAATAACCAAGTGCAGACTCTGTCCACCTGGAGCAGTTCAAAGAGCAGGGGGGCCTCTCTCCAGCCCTGGGCCGGTCACTTCTGCACCCCCAGTGATGCTGGCTGCCCTGTGCTGGTTGGTGCCCCGGAGGCGTGGGGTGGAGGAGCTGCCCTCCTCACTGCCACCAGGAGCAGATAAGCCCCAGTTCCCTCTGTTCCCTGTTTTTGTCCCAGTTAGCCCAGTAAAAAATCCAAATGTGAATGCTTTTAGAAACATGAGAGAGAAATGCAGTACCAGGCAGGCTGCCCAGCTGCAGTGCCTGCGTGCTTGTTGCCTGCTTTCCCTGAGCTTGGCCCTCTTTGGGCTGTTGGGCCTTCCCCAGGGATGTGTGATGGAAATAGATGGAGAGTGGTCCAGGGCTGCTGGTGGCCTTGTGTTCACACCCTGCTCCCCGCACGTCGCTGCTCCAGGAAGGTGAGACACCATCGAGACAGCTCTGCAGGTCACTCCCAAGTGTTGAAACTGTGGCCAGAAGCAAAACGTGGCTTAACTAAAAAAAAAATAATATCTGTGCTTTAGGGTGTGGCTGTTCAGCACGTGGTCACAGCAGGTAACAGCCAGGTGAAGGAACAGGTGGCCCAGGCTGGGCTGGAACCCCCACGGGTGCCTCTTTTGCCCCAACAGCAGCACGGGGGGTTGATCAGTCCTCTCAGCAGGCTTGGAAATTGAGTAATAAGCATCGTTTCTCCTAGCGGGAATGAGCCAGGTTCCCGCCTGCACGGTGAAGGGTGAGATCCTGGGAGCTGTCTGCATCCGGGTAGGCCTGGTGGGACACCAGTGTCAGTGTGGGTGAGGGTTCCAGACCCTCCCGGTTGGGTGCCAGCGCAGCTGTGGCCAGAGCCCTCCCGGTGGGCACGTTTGGTGGCTGCCTGGCCTGGCCTCACCTCTCTGGTATTTGCTGCAGCATTGCAGGCAACTCCCAACACATTCCAGGCCTGAATTGCTCACGTCTCTCTTCGTTCTCCCAGGGTCTCAGTAGATGTGTGGGCGACGCTGGCTGACTTCTGTAACATACTGACCACAGTGAATCAGTCGGAGGTGCCCTTGTACAAGGACCCAGATGATGACCTTGCCCTGCTCAGCCTGGAAGAGGATCGGCTGCTCTCGGGCTTCATTCCCCTGCTGGTTGCCCCCCAGGAGCCCTGCTACGTGGAGAGGACCTCGGACAAGGTCAGCAGTAGGCCAAACATCCCCCCTTGATTCCTCCAGACTTTTTATTCTTGGGAAGTTTTCTGTGCAAACGGAACACGATTAAGTCATTGAGAAGGGTGTTAAGGGAAAATATCGACCTTTCAGCCGCTGACATCCAGCTCTGTGTCATGAAAACCCCTCTCGACTTCCTCTGGTGTGTGTGTGCTCGCTGGCATGTTGTATATACGATCATTTCCTCACTTGTTTAAATAGTGCAGCTTGTGTTGGCAGTGCTCTCGGTGCACTCCAAATGGTTTGCATCATGCTTAAAGCACCCTCCCCCTCCCCCCGGCCACAAAACTCTGCCTTAGGAAGGCAGCCAGGACTTTTTTCCTTCTCTAAAGAGGAGAGTGATAAATAGGTGACTAGAGAGAAGCAGACACCATGTGTTAACGTACAAAAGGCTTTTAGGAATATGAAGCATTCCCCACTGCCCGCTCTCTATTTTCCTTTCTTTGCTCTAGGAGCCCATTCCAGCCTGAACTTTCCTTTGGCTGTTTGTTTTTAGAATAATGAAATCAGTTCCCTTGTTGATGTGGGGTTTTGGGTCTGCTCTCTGCCACCACCTGGCCAGAAGGGACCTGGGGGCTGCACTTGGATAACGTGTCTGAACCTGATGGGGGATGGAAGAGGCACAATGGCATTTGTTTTGCACACCCTTGGAGGCACGACAGGATAAGAGTGGCCCTCAACAGTTTCCTGCTTGGAGGCTGAACTGCAGCACCAGAGACTCTGCTCATCTGGGAAGCTGCAGTGTTGCCTCCCCGAGCAGTTGGTGCTGCAAGAGGAGAAGTGGAGATGGAGAGCTTGGTTTCTGTGGACAGCCTGCATGTGACAGTGGCAACGTGCCTTCCCGTGTGCCACTTCTTGATATTTGCCTGAAATGACAGTGAGAAATTTAGGACATTTGTCACAGAGGGACCCAAGAGGTGCACATTTCTGTTTCACTTCTCTGTCTGCCCGGCCCGTGCTTGCAGCTCTGCCCGCGGCAGGGGAGCTCAGGGACCCAGTCAAACTGAGAGCTCTTCTGGTTTGGGGGAGCACCTTAGTCCAGGAAGTCACTGTGGAAAAGATGGATTTTTGAGGCTCTGTTTGAAGGGCTTAAAATAACAAGGATTCTGTTGCCATTGCTGCCCTAAGGTAGCCAGTTCACCCAGCGTGTGCCATGGCCTCACAGGGTTCTGCTGGGGACAGTCCCAGTGCCCCACTCGCTGCACGGGGCCTCTCTCCCAGCAGCCACAAGCCAGAGTGCCTAGCAGGCAGGTGAGGTGGTTGAGCAGCCCAGTCTGATTCCCCTTAACCCACGGGAAGGGATTGGTGTTCCCTGAGCTCTGCCTGTTCTACCCTCACACGGGTTTATTCGCAGTGCCATCTGCCTGCCCTGCCTGGCACTTGCACCCACGTATGTGGAAGGAGACATGTCTTGTGTCCTGGAGCTACACCTGAGCTTGTGAGCTGAGTGTTCTCACTGTCCTGGCTCCCTCTGGTTCTGCTGAGCTTGACAGTTCTCACTGTCCTGGCTCCCTCTGGTTCTGCTGTTTATAACCAAACTGTACACACCACTGATGGGACAGACACAGTGGTACCAGCTCAGCTCTGAAGAGGCAACACAGATCCCAGAGAGAAGGAGCCAGGCCTGGCTGTGTCTGTCCCCCCTTCCTTTTTTTATCGCTGCTTCTCTGGGTCTTGTTTGGTTTGAAAGTAACTGACTTTGGAACCATGATCCCACCCAGCAGGCTGAGGTGTTTGTGTAGGTCTGAGCCCCTGTTGTGTGTCAGTTGTGTTGTGCCATCTTCTGGCCTCTGCCTTAGGCACCAAGCACATCACAGAGGCAGGAACCTCCACGTGGCACTGGAGGAACCCACGGGTACCAGCACTACCCTGGACACGTTTAGCAGAAGCAACAGGTTCTGCAGGGTCTCTTCTGCATCCAGGTTTTTTGTTAATGGTCAGACTGGTGAGATGGCAGGTGTGCAGGTTCACTTTGCAAAGGACACCCAAGAGGGTTATCACCCAGTGAGACAGAGCAGAGATCTCAAAAGCCTGACTTCCAGGAAGGACCTGGAAGAGCTGGGGCTTTTTAGTCTAGAGGAAATTCAAGGAAAATACAGTGAGCAGTTGCAGAGAAGAGGACAAGCTGTCCTCCAGCTCTGTGCTGAAAAGCACAGGAAGGAATGGGCATAAATTGCAACAAAATAGATTAAGATTAGTCTTCAGGAAAGGCTTCATACCTTTGGGTAGTTAAGTACTTGAAAGCAGCTTCCTTAGCAATTCTGCAGAATCTTTTCAGCCTCAGAGATTTTTAAAAGCAGGCTGGGTGGCTCTCTCAGGTACAGCCTGGGTGGAGGTGAACTGCCTTGGAAAGGGAGGCAAAGTGACCTCTTTGGATGCTTCTGCCTCATTTTCTGTCATTCAGCAAAGCTGTAGAAAGGGACTGGAATGGCAGCTGCGTCATTACAGTCAAGTGACTCCTTACTCCACAAATCTTCTCCTTCTGTGGTATTAATGAAGTGAATTATTTGACCCTCCAGAAGCAGGGGGTTGTAGAAGGCACTGCAGACCAAGCCAGGAAGGTATGATTGAGAGGCATAAACCCAGATGCCTTTCACAAATGGCTGTGAGCAAGATTCAAAAAGGCACTTTCCTGCAAAGAAGCCCTTGGTCCCGCTTAACTGGGGGTCCCCTGTCCCCCATCCCCTCCCTGTCCTCCTCTTAGCCTGCAGAGCCCAGGTGAAGCTGACTCCTCGGGCTGTTGGCAGTGGAAAGGTGCTGTGTCCATGGTGGCAGGAGGGGACCTGTGTCCCTGAGCCTCAGTCAGAGGATGGCAGCAGGAACTGGCATGTACCACATCCAGTCATATTGCAGGAACTTTCCCATTTGTGTGCTCCTTGTTGGTTGCTGTTTGACTGAGCTGTGAGCAGGTAAGAAATGATATTTCTGTGCAGCAGGAACTCCTCCTTCT